ATGGGGGAAAACCAGCTAAGTCCTACTGCAAAGGGATGTGCATACAGTGATGGGGGAAATTACTGTGCCCATTTTTGCAAATAATCTACAAAGTCCACCTCTGCCATCATCAGTCACATCCTTTCTCCACAAAACAAAAACAAACAAACAAACAAACAAATGCTCATCTCCCAAAGGTTCATCCCATTAGGGCTCATTAGATCTGATGAGGTTTCTCTGGTACATCACAAAAAGCATCATAGTATATGTTTAGGGTAGAATGGTGCAGAAACCTTGCATTTTTAGTTTACAGGATTCTACACCATTCTGCCCCTGAACACACTGCGGTAAGAAAGAAACCAGACAACCATGTAGACATTCAAATTCGAAAAGGGAAGGAATTGGAGACACGTAGCAGTCACTGGTCTACGACATTTCTGAAACTTAACTGTACTGTACTTTCAGGTCCCTCCACTCTAAATACAGAAAATTTCCTGATTAGGATCTGGTTTTGCTCCCTGAAGGTAGTTCCCTAGTCCATCGTTCTCCCTGACTTGTGGTTCTGCCCTCTGGTCTCTCGGCTCCATCCCCCGAGATATTATTTCCTTTTCTCCAAGAATTGCCTAGGTTCCCCACTGAACACCTTTCTCATCTTGCTTCCTGTCTGTAGAAAGTTGTACAAACAGAAGCCTCTTTTCAGTTTGAATGAACCTGCCCCTTTTAGTCCAAGGCAGTGCAACTTCTTTAAAAACTTCATGACTTTCTCGTACATCAGATTGTAGTCCACTCCAATAGGTGGGCCTCTCTTTACTTTGGGCAGCAAGTGAAGCAGCCATAAGAAAATGCCTTTAAAATGTGTAAAGCTCTCGTCCTGCTGAGAGGGTCTACTAGGTTTTTCGAGGTGCTGATAAAGGGTTTTTAAGCCATAACTTTGGTTTCATCTTTTCCTGAAGCCATTTCTTACTCTGAGCATCTTTTGCCAACTGGAAAGACTTGGAGATAAAATATGATTTTCTGTTTCAATCATACAAATACCAGGCCTCTAAATTCCCTCTAAGTTCTATATTCTATATTCCAAATTCCAAATTCTATATTCCCTATAAATTCTGCTTGCAAACTGAGTGGTTTCTTTTTCATCTTCTTTTTCTCTCTTTCTCTCTCTGGCTCTCTCTGGCTCTCTCGCTCTCTCGCTCTCTCCCTCAGACAGAATCTCCTTCCTCAGATCCACAGCTCATTAGGTACATTTTCTATCTTCTGAGTTACTGCAGGCAACGTTTTGCCAATTGTTCTGTCACTGCATCAAGTAGACTGCCTTCTTTCCAGTATCACAGAGCAGTTTCCTCAGTGCATAGTGCAGTTAGAGCACCAACAACTCCCTTATCTCCTTGTCCAGCTTCTGCCTCTACCTTGTCCTAAGGCTAGTGCCACTTGTTTTAGGTTATTTATGGCAACACTCCACTTCTAGTACCAACTTCTATACCAGTTGTTTATTACTGCCTCACAAACCTCCCCAAAATATAGTGGCTTTAAATAATCATCTATCTGTTTGCAATTCCGTGAGTCAGCGATATGGGCTGGGCTCAGCTGGCAATGCCTCTGTTGATCTCACCTAGGGTCACTCAGATGAGAGCAATCAGATGGCCAGGTAGGCTGGGACTGGCCATCTTATGGCCTCATTCGCATGTCTGGGATTGGTGTTGGCTTGCAGCCAGACCTCTCTCTCCACGTGGTCCCTCATTCTCAAAGAGGCTAGCCTGGGTTTTTCCAGAGGGACAGCATTGCAAGAGGGCAAGAGAAGAAGCTGAAAGGCGTCTCAAGGCTTGGGCCTGGAAGTCACAGAGTGTCACTTCTGCTGCATTCTGTTGGTCAAAGGAAGTCACAAGGCTGGCTCGGGTTCCAGGACTAGGGAAATACACTTCCACTGTCAATGGGAGGAGTGACAAAGTCCCCCTACAAAGGGGTATGTGAATAGGGATGGAGGAATTCTCTCAGCCATGTTTATAAACAACACATCTCAGTCCTAGTCTTGAACATAATATCCAAAGCTCATCTTTTCCTTCACAATTCTGCGTATCATATAGAATATTATTCCTCCTCATATTCATTAAATTGTACACCATTTTCTGAACTTCTTTCTTCCTACCTCCTTATTCAAGTCCCCATTGATTGCCTAGGCTCAAAGTATTCAGGCATCAACTTAAAGCCAACCCCCCATGTCTCTCCTCATTCCACACCTTTCTCATGAAAAACCCATAAAAAGGTGAGGCCTTGCTGTAGTAAATTCTCTCAGGTTCTCCTGTCCATTTTTCATAGGAGTCTCCACACACAAGTCACTGTTTAACTTCCTGGGTATAACAGTTTACTGTCTGATGGCTTAGTCATTTCCAGCACCCTGGGAATAAAGTGGGGAGTGGTTAAGAATTACTGTGCCTGACATATTGCTGAGTCTGTGGCTCAGTTAGGAAGGAAACCAGCCATTCCTAAATCGCACTGCCTCTCTGTTCAAGTTAGAATGTGAATAAAATGTATTCAAATGTTGCTTCAACATTTCAGGGCTATTCTGATAGTTACAGAGTTGCTCATCTAGTCCTGACTGGTGTGGTTCAGTGGGTTGGGCGTTTGTCCTGTAAACTGAAATGTCACTGGTTCAGTTCCCTGTCAGGCTACAAGTGTGAGTTGTGGCCAGGTCCCCAGTTGGGGGCCGTGTGAGAGGCAACTGATGTTTCTTTCCCCCCTTTTCTCTCCCTCCCTTACCCTCTCTCTAAAAATCAATAATAAAATCTTAAAAATAAGATTTATTCAACAAATTGTGAATAAAGCTGGTTTACACTGTGATGCCATTTTCTAAAGGTATAAAAATAAATTAATTGAATCTTTGGAAGTTACCAGAAATCAACTGGAAATTTGGAGATTACAAGGGAATAACAAAAAAAGTTCTCCTGTTTGACCATACAATAAACTATTTTGTAACTTTTCTCAAAAAACCCCCAAAATACTTTCAACCCAACCCCTCTCAATAATGCTGAGATTTTCCTATGCACCCTAACTGTTCTTAGTCCACGTTCCCAGCTGCTTTTTGAATTCAAATGTCTGTTTACTTGCAGAAGAAACAAGCAAAAGGAAACACTGAAGGACACCTCTTCCAACATCGACCTTGACAAACATTTTAGCTCACTCAGGTCAGTTCCTCATTATTAAGGACCAACTGGACAACCTTTCCGCTGGTGGACACTGCTGAGTAAGCATCATTGAAGTGTCCTTCCTGCAGTTGTCCTGTCTAATTCAGAGCCTCCCAAAGAGCCTGAACAGCTGTGGAAGCTCTTTATTGGAGGTTTGAGCTTTGAAACAACCAATGAGAGTCCGAGGAGCCTTTCTGAGCCATGAGGAACGCGCACAGACTCTGTGGTGCTGGGAGATACAAGCACCAGGTGCTCCAGGGGCTTTGGGTCTGTTGCATAGGCCACCGTGAAGGAGGTGGATGCAGACCTGAGTTCAGGGCCCCGTGGTATAGAAAAAACTCTTGAGGGGCCAAAGAGGCCTGTCTCAAGAGAAGATTCTCAAAGATCTGGTGCCCACTTAACTGTGAAAAGATTTTTGTTGGTGGTATTAAAGAAGACACTGGAGAACATCACCCAAGAGATTATCTTGTATGGGAAAACTGAAGTGATTGAAATCATGACTGACTGAGGCAGTGGCAAAAAGGGAGGCTTTGCTTTGGTAACCTTTGATGACCATGACTCTGTAGACAAGATTGTCCTTCAGAAATACCCTACTGTGAGTGGCCACATCTGTGATGGAAGGAAAGCCCTGTCTAAGCAAGAGGTGACTAGCACTTCATCCAGCCAAAGAGGTTGAAGTTGTTTTGAAAACTCCGGAGGTGGTTGTGGAGGTGGTTTTGGTGGGAATGACAACTTTGGCCATGGAGAAATCTTCAGTGGTGAAGGTGGTTTTGGTGGCGGCTGTGGTGGTGGTGGATATGGTGGCAGTGGGGATGGCTCTAATGGATTTGGTAATGGTGGAAGCAGTTTGGAGGTGACAAAAGCTATCATGATTCTCGCAGTTACAACAATCAATCTTCACATTTTGGACCTATGAGAGGAGGAAACTTTGGAGGCAGAAGCTCTGGCCCCTATGGTGGTGGAGGCCAATACTCTGCCCAACCACGAAATGAAGATGGCTACAGTGGTTCCAGCAGCAGCGGTGGCTGTGGCAGTGGCAGAAGGATTTAATTGCTGCCAGGAAACAAAGCATAGCAGGAGAAGGGAACCAGACAAGTGACAGAAAAGCTACAGGTTACCACAGATTTGTAAACTCAGCCAAGCACAGTGGTGGCCGAGCCTAGCTGCTACAAAGAAGACATGTTTTAGGCAAGACACATGTATATGGGCACAAAGAATGAGGACGGTATTTGTAACTAATTGTATAACAGTCTATTTTAGTTTCTGTTTTGTGGAAAGTGTAACACCTTCTAACAAAGGGTTTTAATGTTTTGTTTTGTTTTGTTTTTTGTACTCATGCTGTTGATTGCTAAATGTAATAGTCTGATCATGACACTGAGTAAATATGTCTTTAGAAAAAAGGAACTGGATGTGAGGGCGATCTGGCTGCAACATCTGTCACCCCATGGATCGCCACAGTTGATTTAGCTGATCTGGCTGGCTAGGCGGGTGTCTCCTTCCTTCCTCGCCCATCCACGTGCATTCCTCCCAAAGCTGTGTGCTCGGTCGAAGAGGACAACCTTCCCAACTAGAGGAGAGGACCAGTCTTCAGTCAAGGGTATATGAGGAGCTGCCCTCCCTGCTAGAACCTCCAAACAAGCTCTAAAAAGAAGGAACCAGCTTGACACCCAAAGTCTTTTTTTCCTCTACTTTATTTTTATAGTTTATTCTATTACAGTTGTCCCAGTTTTTTCCCTCTTGCTCCCCTCCATCCAGTCCACCCCTCTTACCCACAGTCAGTCCTGTTTCCAATGTCCATGTCCATGAGTCATTCATACACATTCTTTGACTAATCTCTTCTGCTTGCTTCAGCAGCACAAACACTAAAAGTGGAATGATACAAAGAAGATTAGCATGGCCCCTGCGCAAGGATGGCTTGCAAATTCATGAAGTGTTCCAAAGTCTTTAAGAGACCATGGAGGAAGCAGTAGCAGGAGTGAGATCCATTAGGAAACAGCTCTTGTGTGCCATATTCACAAGCACTGCCACAACTCAACACAACTCTGCAAAGCAAAGCATCTTAATTGGCCACTGGCGTGAGTTAGCATCTAACATTTCCCAGGGAGCGGAGCTGTGTGTATGAAGCAACATTGTTTAGTGGTTCAAGTCTGGACTCAGACCCCGACTCCCTGAGTTTGAATCTGGGATCACGACTCAGTAGCTGTGTAACTTTGGGCAAGCTGTCTAACCTCCCTGCATCTCAGTTCTTCATCTGGGAAATGGGAATAGTGATAGTACCTCCCTTGTTGCGTTATTGTAAAGACTGTGTGATTAGAAGTGTGCTTGGTACTCAGAAATGTTGTAAATATTCAATAAATTAGTTAATAAGAAGAAGAAATTGAGAAAAACATTTTTGATGAACCTGTACAGGCAAAGAGAACATTAATACATTAAAATACCCAATTAACTTGAAGGAGTATTGTGAAAAGGGGCTTTTCTGGGGTATGAGACTGTGTAATTATTATAATAACTATAAAATTATAGATTAACTACACTCTTCTCCTTCAGGAGAGAGCCCTTGCTATTCCTCTTTCGCAGGCATTCCCACTCTCCCGTGTCCGTTCTCCCACGGGAGGTAGTGCTCCTCAGGGTTTCGGTGCCTGGGCTTCGGAGCTCGGTGCACGTGAGTCATCACTCAAGCTCTGTGACCTTTGAGCAAGTCTCAGTCTCCTCATCTGTGACGTGGGTGCTGGGTTTAATGTGAGGACTAGAAAAGACAAAGAAGTAAAGCACTGAACACTTGCTTCAATAACTTCTTCTTCTTATTGTTATTATTATAAATGTTTCCCTTAATCTCAAATCATATCCAAACTGAAGCTCTATAAAAGCAGGGACTTTATCTTGATTCTCTTTAAGGCCGCTTCAAAGGTCATTTATGATAATCAGCAAGTGATAGTTGTTGATAATATAATGATGATTGATGTTAGAAATTCTGAGACTGTTTTAGAGGACCAAAGAAAGAACAAGAAAAATCCTGGCCTGGAACATCCCAGAAGATCCCTTCTGAAGCCAAAAGAGATGTGGAGATATTCAGGGAGCCTGGGCTTTCCCTGTCCAAAAAATTCTTTGGTCAAGAGCCCCATTCTTGACCAAACGGAGCTATTTATTACCTGATTCATGTTACTGCTAAAAACTGGCTTTGTGATATTACATTTCAACTTAGTTTTTTCAAGATTACATTTTCTAGTTTTACATGAACAACAAAATGTTACTAAGTGAATTCACTAAAAAACCTCTAAAAAAACAAAACAAAACAAGAGAAAAACAAGAGCCTCATTCTTGGCTTTGCCACTGAGTTGCTGGAAAAATCATCTGCTTTTTTTGGGGGTCCTGGTTTCCTCATTTGAGGTTATCAGGAAGGTTCTCCTTACCTCTGAGAGGGGAACGTCCCAGGTGGGACCTGGTTGCAGCCAGGTCACCCGCCACTCAGCACTGGAAAGGAAACCAAACAGACAAGATGAGGAACTTCCTTTCAACAAATATCTCGTAATTATGCTGATTTTTAAGTCACATAATCAGTCTAAAGGCAAATCCTATCTCAATGGAATTTATAAAAGGATTAGGAAATGGAGAAAATGGGGGCATGTTAGCAAGCCCATTTGATTTCATTTAAGTCCATTTCCCCTCATTCTTTACTGGTTTTTAACTGGTTAGGGTGGAGAGCACAAACAATTCACTGACTTCCAAGCCTCTACTGAATTGTTTCTATTCCTGGCTGGCTAGTATCTAACCTACTTTTAAGGGGCTCATCCCTTCAGTCGTGACACTGAAGAAATGTGAATGGAGAATCTCTTTGGAGGTAGCCTGAGCAACAAGGAAGACCCAGGTTAGGAAAAGACACAAGGACACTTTTAGTTTTAGTCCAGAAAAAGGATTTTATGTCACCCTGACTCACAGCTGTAGCTGCAGGCCTGAGATCTAAAGCCATTTCTGCTTTGCTCTCTTGTTTTAGTTTTGTAGGTTACTGTGTTTGCCAAATAATTAAGCTCTGTCAAATGAAATTCCACTCAATTTGATTAGCATTAAGACGAGTTCATTCAATTTTTATTGTCATGGCTTACTATGAGCAGATGAAATATATTATTAATCAAGGCTGCTGTCAATTTAGTCAAAGTCAGCCACATGTAAATCTCCCTGATATTTGATCAAACTCTGGATCTCATTGTCCTGTACAAAAATAGGGTACTTTGAAAGGGCCCATGTCCACCTTTTCATCTTTGACTTTTGGCTTTAACTAAGGAGAAGATGAGAAGAACAGTTGTTAATTAATTTTGAAATCGTACAGACATCCATGTAGCTCTTCAGGTGTTTAAGCAGCCTCCTATGCATGAAGTAGATGTATTTTTACAATGGTGCTCTGAGGGAGGTCCTGTTCATCTTTTCATATAATTTATTTGCTCTACAATTTTCAAGCTGCAGCTTTAACTCTCTCAGTAAATTAGAAATTTTAATGTTGTGGTTACAATTTTTTTTTTAAAGATTTTATTTATTTATTTTTGGAGAGGGAAGGGAGGGAGATAGACAGAGAGAGAAACATCAATGTGCGGTTGCTGGGGGTTATGGCCTGCAACCCAGGCATGTACCCTGGCTGGGAATCGAACCTGGGACACTTTGGTTCCCAGCCCGTGCTCAATCCACTGAGCTACGCCAGCCAGGGCTGTGCTTACAATTTAAAAATGAGCAAAGCTCGGTTTGGAGTGTCAGTGGCTTCCCCAAAGTTCGCTGCTGCTCAGCATCAGGCCACTGGGGACCCCCAGCTCTCGGTCGCAGCTCCTGGGCCAACAACAAAGTGCTCTGATTGCACGTGGTACCAAGTCAACGCGGGCTCAGAACCTCCACACCGCTCTCTACTGTAAATCTGCTGAGGCCCTCATCACGGAGCTTATCTTACAAACTTTTAATGTTTTGCTCACCTGCCAGTCTCTCCATTCTGTTTGTGAACTTAGGGCAAGAACTCTCTCTGTCTTTGTTTCTCTAATGCCCAGAAGAGTGTCTGACACAAAGGGGGACTTGATAGATGTCTGTCAAGAAACAAATAAACAAACAAATTCACCTCACTAGGCAGATTCCAAAACTTACAAAGTATTTTACAGATACTAAAATTTTTGCACTTGTATATTTTAGTATAAATTAAAATTTTGACTGCTCCTGATAAAGAGAATTAAGAGGTTTTGTATATGAAACCATTTATTTTTCCTTAGACAAATGTTGTCCATTCACTTCGATCTAAGCCTTGAAATCTTATCAATCAACAAATATTTGAGTATCTATTATGTACAAGATGCTGTGCTGGCCGCTGTAAGGGATCAAAGAAATACAAGAGGCTAGCTCCTCTCTCAGGGAATTTATAACTCTGTGGAAAGATTGGCTTCTCTTTGTCCACTGAAAGGTCTTCCCATGGAGTTTATAGTACTGGTAATAGTCACAGGAGTGGGAAGAACCACGACAGAGTGAACCTGAGGACGTTTCTCAGAAAGCCATCTGATTGTCTATTTTATATTTCAAGACCCTCAGCTATGGCTATGTGGGGACATGCACTGATTCTTTAGAAGTTAATTCTTCAGATAAATAAAAGGGACACTGCAGATGTCTACATGTTACAAAATGCAGGAGGTGGGGAAGTGAGGTTCCTGATCAAAGGAACCCTTTCATCTTCAAGGCGAGAAAAAATATTGCATGGGTCCAGGACAAACAAGACATAAATTTCGGGCTTGAGCCCCTCCAGAGCTGCTTCCTAAGCTCGGTCCCACCAGGGCTGTCAGGACGGAGTCAGTCTGAGTCACACAGCGTGGAAGAGGAGGTGCCCTTCCCAGCAGCCAGTGTCAGCCCTCAACTCCCCGGGGCTCACCCCATCTCTTCCAAATCCAGCTTAAACCCTCAGGGGTTCCAGTACTGGGGAGTGACAAGAATTAGAAGACCAACGATGACAGCCAAGGACACCTTTACAAACCAGGGGGAGTGGGATCTTTCTGGAGCCAGAACTTGTGAGCTGTAAAACTCTCAGAGCCAGACAGAGGGAAGAAAGCAGATTTCTTTGGGGTTCTGTTGTTTATACTTAAGTGTTTGGTCTTAGAAGGTCAAAATGGCCCTGTAAAGGCCTTGTCACTAGAGATTAAACACAGAAATACCTTGGTGTAGCCAGATGCATCTTCTGTTTCTCTTTATTTTCTTTGTAATGTCTTAACTTTTCTATTCCTATATTTGTGTTTTCGTGGGCTCAGACCCTATGTGTATTTTAAACAATGAGGGTCAACATTTATTAAGTGCTTATGACAGTGAGGCCCTGTTCAAACACAACAACCCTGTATGGTGAACACTATCATTATTGTCGTCCCCATTGTACAAATGGGGAAACTGAGGCAAAGATAAATTCAGCATAACTGGTAAATAGTAATGTTGGAACTTAAACCCAAGCTGGCCCTGGCTGGTATGGCTCAGAGGACTGAGCACCAGCCTGCCAAACAAAAGGTAGCTGGTTCGATTCCCAGTCAGGGCACATGCCTGGGTTGCAGGTCAGGCCCCCAGTTGGGGGTCTTACAAAAGTCAACTGATCAATGTTCCTCTCTCCCTCTTTCTCCCTCTCTTTCTCTCTCCCTAAAAATAATTAAAATAAAATATTCAACCCAGGCTATAAGTTTCCAGAACATGAGCACTTAACCATTAAGGTATAGTGACTCTTAATTCCATACAGGGCAAGTTCATAAGCATAAGAAAGGAAAAATCAAACCACATAGTATAAATTCTTTCTGAAGGTATCCTTGGAGACTCATATATGAGGGCATGAAGCCAAAGGGAATAATAGACCACTTCTGATCTTGCCAGTCATAGTCCAAGACACCAGAAGGGCATTCAGACCACATCCCCAGCTCGAACCTGCCTAACATTCTTGTGGAGAAGTGAATCCTG